AAAGCGTCCAGTTGATCATGGCCTTGGTCTTCTGTGTAGTATCAAGGAGTCATACTTACACGGAAGTGCGCTGACGGCTTCTTTTTTCTTGGAATTACGTCTCCACTGGACAACGTCGAGAATCAACTTCCCGATGCCGGTAAGAGCGACAAGCATAGCAGCGATGAAAGCGAAGAGGGCTCCAATTGAAATATTCATTTTCGAAGAGTTGATAGGTTTGACTGGAGAGGGCCTTTTCGTCGTTGTACTGGTCGTTTCTTGGGAAGCCGGTGGGTTCAGTATTTAATTAAGGTAGGTACACTAGAATGTCGCTGAGGTCTGATATCGTCTTTTCTGTCAGCAAACCCGCTATGAAGAAAAACCATGTATCAAATCCGGGGATAGTTCAGGCGGTTAGGGGACGCCCTTGGTAAAGCCGCCGAACAAATGTCAATGGTTATGAGAAAAGGCGCCATTAGCCTCAACCGATCAAGCGTCCAACGAAACACTGTTAGCATTCCATTCGCCCGAATCCCAGAACCGAATAACTCATCTATCGCACGTCGTTTACCACCATGTTTCCATTGTTCTTTGCTTCCATGTAAATTTAATGGCTTTGATCGTCGCATAGACACTTCTGCCTTTCGAGGAACTTCTGATGGGAGGTCTCGTTTCCAGCTTCCTGTCTTTCGCCCAAGACCGCTCTCGTTCTAGCGCCAGATTGGCGCCACAGTCTCAGCAAGCCTCCATCAAGCATCATAACTCATAAACTGGCCTTGATCGGAATTAGCTCTGCCTTGCCAGGCATAACCACGGCGGCATTGCCGAATTTGGCGCTCCGACGCTGCCCAAACTCCATCTACAAGGCTATCTCCATGTGGCTATGTCAAGTGCAATGCAGCAACCTTCCCGGTTCGTCATCCGGAACGGTCCAACGGCGAGAGAAATCATGCCACCCGCGCGGCATGATTAACCTTATGTAGGCTAGCTCCTCTCAGCTCTGGCCGTCATTTACCGTCTTGGTCTGATTCTTTGTGACACCAATCCGAGAACATTCTGAAAGCTTTTTAATCCAGACACTGCGATTGAATTTGGGTACAAACTTCGTTCTGGAAGGAAAGGCTTCTTTGATGCTAGCCAGACTGTCAGACTCCACATACTTCCGCGAAACCGGCTTTTGCTGTGATGATGCACAACTAACCTACCTAAGGTAGCTCACGGCAACGGGTCGAACCATGTCGTCATTGGTGGCCGAGACTATGTCTTACATATTTAAAGCTGGGGGTATCTCATGGGTGGATATTCTTTTGACAATGTCAGGATTAGTGGTGCTGGTTGATACGGTCGTCAATGTCAACTGTGATTGCTATCCAATTTCAGGGCAATGCAGCTTCTCACAGGCGAAAATGAGAGAGAGAGATATGATTGATCTTACGGTATACAAAATGTGGAAAACAGTAGGGTCCGCAGGCGACCCAAAACCGGCAGGGCCTCCGCTCCAAGAGAGTACGTCGATACATGCTGTCCTTAAACAAGAGAATATTTAAGAAGCTAATTTTCTGGTTATTTGTTGTTTCTATGACACTTTAAAGCCTGGCGAATAACTTACCTGCTAACTACCTTCCCAGCTTTGCGACTGACCTTGGTGTTTTGACTGAAAAGGGCGCTCCATTGGTCACTTTCTTATCGCTTTTGGGTATTATTGGTTAGATTTTAATTGGTGCCCTCATGTGAGTTGTTTGCGATTGAATGCGTTTATGTATGAGCTACCTGCTAACCTGAACTGATAATAGAGATGCGATCGGGCCTTTGGTGCTAATGCTGATGAGTGCCCTCGTCAGTAGTTTCGCTGTGTTTGTGGTTTGAGGTCTCGGTAAATATTACTGGAACATGATAGTTATATCTATACTGTTTGGCGCATTTGCTTTCAGCTTCATGGTCTTGCGTAGTTATATGGCTGCAGTTGTTGTTGATGACCCTAGTTGGCTAAGCGAGGAATTGTTCGTGTCTGGAATTCTTCTCTTCGTCTGTGGTGTTATTGGAGTTGCTTTGGGATATATTGCTGCAGCTATCCTGTAGAATAGTGACCATATTGAGGTTTAGCCCGGATATGGTGCTGGGAAATAGCAAGATTTTATCATTCTTATGGGCACTACGACGACGGCAGCGACCGTTGGGGCGTTTGGTTTGTGGAAAAGAAGAAGATGATTACAAGCAAGAGAGCTTTTAATCAAACATGGTAGCATTTTCGCGATCGGCGTGTCTTCATCCTGACCATATGAAGACCGACTCCAACGTGGTAGTGTTGAAGGGGTGAAGAATCGTGCTTATCAATTTTGACAGAGACGGTGTCGAAATAGAAATTTAGATAGCTGATACCTAAATAGCAGTCCGCCTAGGCAGCAAACCCACCTGTCACTGAATTTTGACAGAAAAAGGCAGGACCTGTCTGAATATTATCTGACTATGTCACGTCAGACAATACCTATCAGCTGTCAACTTGAAGCTTATACTATCCAAGAGATTACAGACGTAGATGCATCCTTCTCACGGCTATTGAACCGCGGCAGACTTGAAAGACTGAGAGATCCAAATAAAGAATAGTCAACTTGTGGCTCGTTTTAGCTGAAATTCTCTTCGCAACCGGGTTCCGACATGATTAAACTGTTTGCTGTATAGACAACCATTCGTCTAGTCCATTCCGCGTTTCACGGAACTAGATGCAACGGGCCACCATTACCCACCACTACTAAGCGGACTCGGAATGGAGGACCTAAGGAACCACAACAGCTTTTCCGAAACAAAACCTTCAAACATTCAAATCCCGTCGGGTGCCATGACGTATTGCTACGCAGTAGCTCGGACGCAAACTCCACTTGACTCGCACGTAAGAGTGCAGGAGCCCAGGCCCTCCGCACTGCAGTGCCAAGCCTTCGGGACCGTCCCGTCTGACCAACGGAGTCCGGGTCGTCCCCCGCGAAATGCTGCTATTCTGCGTCGCCAAGCGAGGTCCATCGCTGAACGTGTCACTGACAACCTTGGTTTTGGGTGTTTCTTCGTACGAGATGCCAAGTCTCGCTACCCAACCAGCGCCGTCTGTTTGTAGCTGAGCGTGTATCATTACGTAAAACTGGCACCTCCGTGCGTTTCTCCTCACATCAGGTGCACTGCCGTGGGCAGAGTTGCGTCGACGTAAGGTTCGCAACACAGAACTCTAGGTGTGTCGTGCTCGAAACCCCGTGACCCGCGCCCGAGCTGGGATCCTGGTTGGGGGCGCTTAAGCGGCGCTCGTACGCGACGACGTTTCCTACATCAGCTGCAGCTTCCCCCAATGCTGCCCTCACCAGGATCTCCGAAGCTCATGTTCTATACATCACGACGACGCTAACGACATCATGGCGGGCGTCACACAACTGGCTCTGCGTCCGGCTGTGGTTAGGGAGGATTTCGAGGCCGACATGGAGAGCGAGTGGATGGGAACACCGTCCGAAGACACTTTTGCCGATGAAGACGAGGTTCAGGTCGATCCCTACGGGGATCTCGTTCTTCGAGTTGGATGCAGCCCAAACTCTGGTGAAAGCCCAGCATTTCGGGTCTGCTCGAATGCCCTGAAAAGAGCATCGCCATTCTGGAGACGGACTTTGGCTGAAACCGCCGAGGAGACCGGAACAGCAGAGGAAGATTGGTATTGGACGCCATCACTCTTCGCATGCCCATACGAGAAATCTGATGGGCTGGTCATTTTGCTCAATATCATCCACTCGAAATTCCACTTGGTACCCAAGAGACCATCCCTCTCGGAGATGTACAACTCCCTTTGCCTCGCCAGCATGTATGAAATGGAACAAGTTCTGCAGCCATGGATCGGGCACTGGTATGACGTTATCGATAGCTTGGAATCCGCGAGAGATGGGCACAGCCTCGCCATGCTAGCATGCATCGCGTGGGGGCTGGGTGATGAGAGACTTTACGTCAGAACGCTCACCGATATCACCCTCACATGTGTGGTGCACGAAGGCGGGCACATTATGACTGCCGATGGAGTTCGCTTGGACGATTATCTTCATGATGCGTTAGGCTCTCCAGTGATTTCAGGTATGAGCGATACTGTGATCTCAGATTAGATTCCTGACATACTGACCTTCGGCAAGAAAATATCCGCTTAATGCGCAACCAATTAGCATCAGAGTTACCAGCACACATCAACCAACTCATCAAGCGCCTGATTGAGGGTAAATGGATGTGCGCAGGGATATCTGACATACCGATAACCAAAAACAAAAAGTGCGACTATGTCGTGCTGGGAAGCTTGTTCGCGGGGTTGATTTACGTTCGAGGCTCCAAGGCAACAGAGCTTCAAATGAGGCAGGATGAAAGTATCGCAGACCTGCTCAAGTCAGTGAAGCGGGTCTTGTCGTACGTGTCTTGCTACGAAAAGCATACAGAATGCAATCCGGCGGAGAAGATCGCCGACGCCATGAAGGAGACAGTTGAAGACTTAGACACATCGTTAAGCGTGGGCATACTCGAGCGAATGCGGGAACAGCGACAAAAAGCAGGTCTAGAAGCACAGACTTCTGAGGAAGACAAGGGATGAGTTATCGTCAAGTCATGGCATGCATGGACCACGTGGAAATCAAAAGTTTTGATGTTGTTACGAGTCAAACAGTGCTGAAAGCAGTGATTTGGTGGAGCGCGTGTCAATATGCGAAATGAGGAATGTGATCTTTGCTTTCGGCAACTAACCAGAACTGGCCTCTCAACACGAATTGGGACAACTGGGCAGCATGTTTAATCAGTCACCTGATTAAGCTTAATGTGACTGTCGACTACGCATCGTATGTGCCGCGTCTTTTCATCAACTTAGCTTTCGGTCAAACAAGAGTTGCCCGACTTGTCCGAAGCCGCAACGGGGCGCGGAAAGTCCCTCATCGTGCCCAATCAGCGCTGATCTCGCTTACAATGCAGCGCAGCATCGACATCCACTTGAGCTGGCTATGAACGGAATAGCTTCAAGATCCGGCTGTGTGTTCTAGTTGGTTAAGATTTCTCGTTCACATCATGTGTACCTGATCCGAGAAGGTCCCAGGTTCGAGCCCTGGCACGGTCAGATTACTTTTTAATGTTTTTGACGACGAGCATTCATGTCGAGAGTCGCGTTCCAGAGGCAATTGGCGGTGTCTTCCTTTTGAACCCGGGCTGACAGGCCAAAAGCAATTGGATGACAAACGGATTGCTATGGCTTCTTTCGTGTGCCAGGCCTATGACAGGCCTTTTGAGCAAGTTCTTTGGGTGGTTTGCTGGCTCGCTCCGGAGCGGCAATCTCGGTCGCCGGCGACCGGCCGGTTCGGCACTTTAGCGCCGCCCACTCGGTGCCCCTTCGCTAAGCCCCCTTTATTTCAGTGTGACGGCTACCCGCCGGGCTAAGCTTTGGATCGAGGGATTGTCCACCAGTAGTCGTCGTTGAAGCGGCGAGGTGCATCTGGAATTCAGACCGGTTGACGCGGCAGTTGATCTCGCAGGAAAACCGATCATCGCGTTTCAGACACAGCGCAACGCATTCGAGAATGCGATTTGGCTAGACGGCTGTCGCGGCCGTATCGATGGGCTCTGCAGCCATCATTGCAGCTGTTTCCCGGCGCGCGGAGCAAAACAAGCCGTAAGGCGTGCTTGGCGCGTGGACCGTATCCTGGTAATCTGGGGGAGGTTCGCCGACGGGCTGGCCAGACCTATCTTGGCGCGGCATTGTGAGCGATTGCCGGCATAGGTGTCTGCGCCTTGCTGCAAGGGATACATCAGGGGCAAACGATCCGGTGGGGAAGCAGAGGCTCTTCGTGAACGGTGAGCATCACGGGGCTGGCCGACGGAGATGACTTCGATTCTTGAGTCTAGCGCCAAATTGATTTTCACTGAATACGGCGTGTCGATGGCGGTCAACTTGACTTGGCGACAAAAGTGTCCGTCGGAGTGTTCAGTCAACGAGTGAAAACACAATTTGATGGCAAGCCCTAGCAATGACGTTGTCTCATTGAATTTTGCAGGAAGATATTAAGTGCCATTGAGCAAAAGCAAAGATAATCGGTAGGGGCGGATTGACATAAAGTAGCAGTGCATGTGGCAATGGTCTATCCAGCACACGGAGTTAGCTTCATATATATTCTGTGGGGAAATATTGGTGAAGCCGCAGGGAACACCACGGCAACATCGGCTAACCATGGGAACTCCCTAGCCTCCTTTTCAGGCTCTTCTGATCTCGAGAGACGACGAAATGTTTTTCGAGGCCGAACCATGGAACGCCCCGGGAACAAACAATTTTTCCCTCCCCGAACACGGGATTCCGCAACCGACATTCGATATCGGCTTTCCAATGTATTGATTGGGGGGTTATTAATGCCGTCCAAAATCGGGTGAACACGAGTCAAAGCTCAATTTCGACGGTCGCAAACCTTCTGCTTTTGGGTGTGTTGTGGCCGGGATGACACGGCTTTGAGTTCTCCCCTAGAGCCCTTTTGGCTGGCGCAACACCACATTTACTTGACAAGAACGTAACGGGCAGATTAACCAGCCCACTTACCCCATTGGTGGAGTCATCTAGAGCGCCGCGTGGTGGGCAGCGTTGGACGTCGGTAACCCGAGGTCTTGTTAAGGTGAAACTGCCCCTGATTCTTTTTGCACCCAGCGGCGCACCCGCTAAGCCCGCAACAAGCTTTCCGTCCGATGCTTAGCTCCGGCATCCCGGCTGACACGGGGCCCAGCGTCGACAGACGCTCACCTTGTAGCCGGACACTAACGTCACATCTGGCATTCGTCACCGTAATTGGAGGGACCAGTCTTCGTTCTGGAAGGAAAAAAATGTTTGCCAAACCCTGACGTTCGTTAGCATGTTGTGAGTATATCAACTGCCGCCCTCCCGCCGTTGGAGCTGATCTTGGCATCCGATTGTTGGTCCATCCTCCTTACAAACCAGACGTTCTCTTCTTGCACACACATTCGCTTCAGTTCAACCAGTCATTCTTTGCAGACTTCCATTCACGATGCAGCTGTCTTCTTACCTCGTTTCGGCCATCATGGCCGCCACCGCCGTGGCCAGCCCCACGCCCACCATCGAGAAGCGCGCCACCACCTGGTGCGACTCCTTCGGCTCCCTCGCCACCGGCGCCTACACCGTCTACCACAACAACTGGGGTGCTGCCCAGGCCACCTCCGGTTCTCAGTGCACCACCTTCAACTCCTTGAGCTCCGGCTCCGTCTCTTGGTCTACCTCCTGGACCTGGGCCGGTGGTCAGGGCCAGGTCAAGTCCTACTCCAACGTTGCTCTGGAGAAGGTCAACAAGCAGCTCTCTGCCATCAAGTCCATTCCCTCCAAGTGGACCTGGAGGTTAGTGTTCCCTTTGAAGCATTTTTTAGCATTGACTTACTGACTTACACTCTCCAGCTACACTGGCTCCAACCTCGTCGCTGATGTCGCCTACGACCTGTGGCTCGCCCCCTCCGTCGGCGCCAACAACAAGTATGAGATCATGATCTGGCTCGGCTCCTACGGCGGTGCCGGCCCCATCTCCAGCACGGGATCCAAGATCGCCTCCCCCAAGATCGCCGGTACCACCTGGAGCCTCTTCTCCGGCCCCAACGGCGACACCACCGTCTTCTCCTTCGTTGCCCCCAGCAACATCGCCAGCTTCAACGGTGACCTGAAGGGCTTCTTCGACTACCTCGTCTCCAGCCAGGGTGTCGCCAACACCAACGTCGTCACCTCCCTCCAGGCCGGTACCGAGCCCTTCTCCGGCACCAACGCCGTCTTCAAGACCTCCGCCATCTCCATCTCTGTCTCCTAAATGGTCTCAGTGTGACCGTTGAGTCGATCCAACCGAGTTCGATCTTGATTCCAGAGTTTGATCATGGCGAGTATTTAGCATAAAAGCCTTTTCGACACGTACATATTGTTGCTTTACGTACATAATACAATACCAGAACCCTAGTTGGTCTGCCACAATTAGCTTGATCTCTCCCAAGTGACTCTCAGTAGACTGACCATGACTGTTGAAGTTATGGATGAGGGGATGTCGTGCAAGGTGCTAGACTTCGGTCACGTCTGATGGTCGAAAGTCATGACCAAAGACCCTAGCCGCGATGGATTTTGTCCTGGCCATTCATCAGCATGCCTTCGGGCGTTCCATGAGCATTGTATGCTCTAGGGGATTGTCCAACACAATAAAATCCCCGAATGTCTGTAAGATGGGAAGTCTCGTACCGTTGTTGACTTAGTCACCGTCTCAGAAACGGAACTACGAATCAGAGGGAGTTACGAACATTGAGGGGTCGTACTGCACCCTCTGTCCAAGTGAGATACCTCGTGAAAATGATGGAAACCGTCAATGACATCGAACAAGCGGGAATCCTCTATCCGTCACCGAGTCGCAAGCAATCATTTTCACTTGCAGACTTGGCATAACATACAAAGCTCTTCCTGTTTGATCATCCATGGATGGTAGCTTGTTCCTCAAGAAACGGCCAAGGCACGTTGTGAATCTCCTCAATATGGACACGAAATTACTGGGGAATCACGATGCCGAGCCAGATGCCTGGTATGTACTGTTGGATTGAGAATATTTACGTCAAGAAATATGATGATCATGCCAGTGACCGTCCCTTTACTCGGCCTTCTGGGCCGGGATGTTGAGGGTAGCAATGTTCCACGTCTTGCCGCCGTCAGAAGTGGTCATGGCACCACCGGTGGCACCGTGCTCCCAGCTTCCACTGTGTCCGAAGCTCTTGTCAGCTTCGCTAAGCACAATAGAAACATCCTTCCAGGCTATGAATGAGTTAGCTTCGGGCTTTGGTTGACGTGATGAGTGAGACAAACTGTGGGCAGGGTGGTTCGCGCAGCCGCCGCTGGCGCACTCGACTGAGATGTAGAAAATGTTTCCGTGCTGTCCCTTGCCTGTGCAGATGCAATTAGCATTGGGCGGAGTCATATGTTAGTCTTGTGTCGGAAGGACGTACTGGTGTTCACGGTGGAAACAAGCTTGCCGTCGACATAGACGTTCTGGTCCCAGAGCTGGGTCGACGAGTTCAGTTTGTCTGTGGTCGTGGTGAGTCTCGATATGCCGACAACGAACAGAGGCCTCGCTTACAGTGAGTTCTAACAGTCGATCCTGCGGAAGCCTTCACGGGGGTGCCAACGGTGGGGTTTGAGCCTGGTCACGGATCAGCGCCGGTCGATCAAGTGCCGCATTCGCGAGCGGCTTCAGATAGTGATACGCACCGACCAGGGTGTACGCGAAGTTGCACCAGTTCTTTCCTCCATCTTCGCAGTAAGATCTAACATGGATGGTCAGCGATGCGCCAAAACTTCGTTAACGTTGATTGCGCCATACCCGCTCGGAGAGTTTGAGGTAACGCCCTGGAGGAAGGAAGCCTCGTTCTGCATCATGATGGCGCTCCAGATGGCGACATCTCCGGAGACGGCGCTGGGCAGCTCGGGAAGGACGAGAGTTGCGCTCGCCTCTTGGATGTAAGCGTTGCCGTTGGTGAACAGGGTGACGATGTCGGAGTTTGCCTGGGCAAGGCTGGCGAGTGCAGCAATCATGCCGCCAACGGTTGCTTGGATTCCCTTCATGGTGCCGGGAATAGACTGGATGCGATTCGGAAAAGACTGTTTGAGGGTTGGTATCGAAGAGTCTATTGAGCGACGCTAAACAAACCCAAAGAGGATAAGCATAACCTTATATGATCGTGGCTAATCTCTTGATCCCGCGCAAATACACAATCGAGGGGACATTGCGTCTGGAACTTATCCGTGTGGGAGGCATGTTGGTCTCTATTCGAAACTTCGATTGTGGTCATTGGAACGCGCGCTATCGTGTCTGAGGAACTTTTGACTCCGCAATATACTGCTTTAATGATCGTTCCAGTTGCATGGTAATCATCCCGTCGGACCACAACCGTTCGGATGAATCGCTGACTCGATGCGATTGGAGGAATCTCCTGCAAGGGCGTGGCTCGGGGGATAATGTGCGAAGATCTGGGGGCCTATCCACTCTTTATGCGGCGCAGAGTTTCATTCGTTTACGTACAGTAACCTTCTTTACACATCATAAAATGGCAACT